AATACCTAAAAATTTTATTTGAAGAGTTTTTTCGTTCCTGCCAACATTTTCAATTGAATCCCAAAAAACACGTTTTCTCATTCTTTGTTGAAGAATAAACAGCATTCCCACAAAAATTGGTATACCAATTTTAACGTATTTTTTTGGGATGCAATCGACACGGTTGGCAGGAACGAAAAACTCTTCATATAAGATTTTTATGAGACCTACAAAATCCGACTAATCAAAAAATTTCAGCTCTAAATATGTATACACAAGAGTATGAAGACATCTTGAAAAAAAATTCATTCAAGAATTTCATTTTATCGTCGCATTAGCAACAAGTGTCAAGACCTGCATTTTGCCTCGATTTTCGGCCATAACTTTTTTACTATCAGTTGGATCTTTTATAATCTTTAATCTTTTTAAATACCTAAAAATTTTATTTGAAGAGTTTTTTCGTTCCTGCCAACATTTTCAATTGAATCCCAAAAAACACGTTTTCTCATTCTTTGTTGAAGAATAAACAGCATTCCCACAAAAATTGGTATACCCAGTTTATGCGGAAATACAATAAAAATATCCAAAACCTAACTTGTCACATTTCAAATAAACCAGAAATATAAAGGTGCTCCGGAGTTGGGAAACTACCACAATTTTACGGTGATATGACATATAACAGCTGTTTGATGACGTTATAACCAAACTGATAACACACTCGCTTGAACCAACCAATCCAAAATGGTAAATACCAATTTCATTTGGTTATTTGCTTGAATTTGATATACATGTTAGCCCTTTGATTAAAAACGTCCCTATTCCTTCATGAACCGCGGAAAATCACTATGCAGCATCTGCCGTCCCGATGCAAGAAAAATTTACTCGAACTTTCTAAAACGTCTTTCGCTGTTGCGTCAAAAACGTCAAACTTTAAAATGTCGGAGTTTTCCATGGCCTACTTGATTTGCAGCAAACTAGAAAGACGACAAGTCATGGCCTACTAGTGTAGATCTACCCTTCGCCTATCGTCCCTACTTTTTTGTCGTACTATTTACCGGACCCTGCACTTGAACACCTATTGTGAATAAAATAAAAACAATATTAAAAATCTATTCGTTATTCTGAATATTACTAGATTAAGCATCATTTTATAAAATTTTACTCCATCTATCGGTAATTACATAATCTTAGGTACATTGAAATAGAAAAAACACATTTTTCTTCATAACTTCAGAAAGCAACTGTAACATCCGCTACATCCTTGAATTATTAGAAAAAGATGGTATCAGATTGGTGTACTTTTTTTCGGACCATATAAAAAATAAAGTTGATGATGGTTTCCAAAAGCGAAACGCCGGGCACAAAATTTAAAAGCAACATCATTTAGTGCCAAAAAGTATCATTTTTTTTGATATTTCTTAAAATAAAACAAAAGAATAAGCCATGAAATATTTACAAGATTCTCAACATGAATTATCACTACAATCTGTCATTAAAATTAGCCGGGTTGTCCATATGCTTTGTGCCTCGTACTTTGGTTTAGGAATGCGCCCTTGTAATTACGGCCTATGATAAAGTTGCACACTGTTTTCCAAAAAACAATACATACACACAAGTACTACAAACTTCCTAAACAAGTAAAAACGCACTTACCATCACACGTTGCCTCAAGATATAAAGAAACTTCACGAACCGCACAAAAAACACGCGGCGTGGCGCGACTTGGTAGCGCTGACCGACCGCCGACACGCTACCACGATAACTGAAGACGCGCAGTATCTTTCTGCATAACTACTCGTACTCCTCATTTCCCCTCACATCTCCTACTCTCCCTACCGCTGGGCTAGAGTCGTACTGTTTACGCTGTTTTTTATACATGTACTACACAACCGAAACTGTATTTTTGAATATCGTATACAGGGCGTTCGGAGCAAGGCTTGCGATAGGATCATTTTAATGAAATACTAAACATTACTAAAATATGTATGTTTAAACGGACATAGGATTGGCAAACAAGCTAGGACTATTAGTAGTGGAACTATATGCAAAGACTTTGTTAGTCCCACATTTTGAATTTTTCGTTAAACAATTAAAATTGTGTCACCGACAAAAAACCATTTTTAAAGTACTTTTTGGGCTTAATGTACTTCTGAAAGATTGCAATTTCGAATATCCATTACAGTTTATTAATAATAATGGAAAACGATCGGAAAACTACTTGTTTTGTCAGGAAGTAGGGTTAGTGGCATATAACTTAAGCAAAGAAAACATCATATTTTTCATTTTGTTTATTATTGAGAATTAAACTTGAATAGTGACCTATTAAAATGCCAAATGTTTAAATGTGCATGTTTGACTAGTTTTAAGATACATAGGAAATTGAATTTCCTGTGCTACTAAAAACCAAGCATACTTTTGAAACTAAGCAGCAGTTACGAGAATGGAAGCATTTAGTACGATTACAGAAATGTTACGTGATGTTTTGACACCTGAAAATCATATTGATGTTCAGAAAATAATGGCAACCTATTTCTACTTAGTATTTTCATCATATTAAATCATGGAGACTATCATGGGGAAATGAATAAGGACAACTTTCGGTAGTGGCTATAGTTATGGGCAATGCACTATACCATAGTAATATTGAGAATAAGCCAACTACAGCAGCCAAACAGGAGCATATCAAGAAATGGTTGAGCATTAATGAAACTGATTTTAGTCCTGATATGTTCAATGCACAACTACAGAAGGTACAGGTTGTTGTTGATGCATTAGCCGAACAGTATTACGATTACCGCCGTATCATTGCATTTTTAACCCTATTGAAAATGTTTGCGGCATAAAGTCCTACTACAACAAACATGTGGATCGAGATGGCAGAACTGCAGAGCGCTGTATCAATTTATTGCGAGAAACTTTATAAACTGTTACAGCCGAAATTTGGTCAAAATGTATATCACATACTGTACATTAAATTCAGAGATGGTGGGAAAGAGAAAAATATCTAGACCCAGCTGACAGTTTACCAATTATTATAAATGTGAATGAGGAAGGTGGTGATAGCAATTCAGAGAGTTGTAGGGACTACAACTTTTTCAAATAAAATATATCTTGCCACTATTATTTATACGTAAGCCTTTATTTTGAGAATTTTGTATAATAAATACTTTGAACAAATTTCATTTAAATTTTCATTTTTCTTATTGCTCAAATTATGAAATTGTAAAGAAGTTAAAATTTGGTTTGAGTGGGTAGTAAAACTTTCAAGTATCTATTTTGAAATTTGTTATTCCTTTCCCTGTAGCCTATTTTTTACAACATTTTTTCAAAAGTAAGCCAATTTCTGATAGTCACTAATACGCACGGTACTGTAATGTTGGTTGCGGTCCGCTCTAGCTCTAGCATTTACAAAACATACTCTCTGTAATGTTGGTTGCTCTGCTCTCTGTAATGTTGGTTGCGTTCTGTGACGTTGGTTGCGCGCTGTAATGCTGGTTGCGTCCCGCAACTGTCACTAGCTCTAGAGCTTACAAAACATACTCTCTTGAATGTTGGTTGCGTTCTGTGATGTTGGTTGCGCTCTGTCATGTTGATTGCGGTGCGCCACTGTCACTATAGCCCTAGCATTTACAAAACACACTCTCTGTAATGTTGGTTGCGTTCTGTGATGTCGGTTGCGCTCTGTAATGTTGGTTGCGGTGCGCCACTGTCACTAGCTCTAGCATTTACAAAATATACTCTCTGTAATGTTGGTTGCGTTCTGTGGTGTTGGTTGCGCTCTGTAATGTTGGTTGCGGAAAGACGACGGTAGTTTATTACAAAAGGATGATAAAATTAGCACCCTATATAAATTTTGCAATAATTATCTTTCTAGTTCTTCTGTGACCCAATGTGTTTGAATATACTTGAAGGAAAGATCTAATTGATATTCTCCAACCAAACTAATGGATCGTGAGTTTTTTATAGTGTAGTGAGAGGCTGGCCAACAGTGTCTGAGATTGAACGGTCACGTTACAGGGTGCGCAATTGGTTCTTACTTTAAACACGCCCCTCGTAGTTCACTGACATGTTTCTGATAAGTCGTTAGGAAAATGAAATGCGGTGAAAATTTTCTTCTATGGCGGCGCTGCTTCTAGCAATAGGTTTCAGGAGTTATATTTCCTGATAAGATTGACTTATCGGGTAAGACGTCAGTGAAATATGAAGAATAAATAAGTTGAAGATTGTGTAAAGAATACCTGATCGTTATGTCGATGATCAATTCAATTGATCTTCATAAAACTTTTGGCCTCATTGTGTTAGTTTCCCAGATATGTCCCTTGATTTCTTCAAAAGTTGTATGAAAATTTGGATGCCAACCTTAATGCAAAATAGATCCTAAATTGGTACGTATAGTTTGAAGTTTCCAGGTACATTTATGTTGGTAACAGTTTTGTGTTGTGACTTTGTCGCAAAGCTTGACAGGTAATTACGCCAACGGCTGTTGTTTATTTTCGATATTTTTACCTCAATATTTGCATTGCTGTATAAAAACAGTTTCTTCCAAAACTTTGATGTGTCCTTTTAAGCATAGATGGTAAGGCATCGAAGACATAAAGTAGATTTTGTAAAACGTCCTGGTTTTAAATGTGGCAACCATGTGCGTCACTGTCATTATTTGACGTTGTGACGTAACTGATGGCGTGGAAATAAGGGGGTTGCGTAATTCTGGTTGCCTATGCGTTCAGCCTGACGCAAATATAAATAAAATAGTCATTCAGCATTTTTGTTTGGTAGCATTACATGTCCGTCAATGCATCATTGGACATTGAGTCTCATGAAGAAATATAAGATATAAATAAGGAAGTGTTTTATTTGACAAATAAGAATTAGGTTTTGAGATCCATAAGTGGTTTGCCTATTGACTTAATTTGGCACGGTTATCGTTCCCCGATCGCAATATTTATTTTACGAGTTGTTAGAGTTCCCCGAGACGAATATATTTCTGAATATGAATCCTGTGACCCTCCTAAATAAAACAATATATATAGCTAATCTTATATTCAAAGTAACGGACGATAAATTACGTAAAGGTAAATAAAAAATAAAATACACGTATATAAGAATAATAATAAGACATTAATCGTCAAAATGCACGACAGAATGTTCGACTATAACTCCTCTGCTTCGAGTAGGTTTGCTCTTCAACGGCGAGATCGTAGCCTCGGTAAAACGAACATTTTTTCTCTCCCTGACTGGCAAGTTATCAGATACGTTCTCTTTATCTGCCTTGTCAACGTTCTTCGTCTCTACTTCCTTAATTTCCACAACAGAATCATCGCTTTCAATCTTGATAGGCTCTTCATCTTCTCTTACTTCAACCTTGTTTTCGGCGCTATCTTTTTCTTGTTTGATCCGGCCGTTTTCAGGAAATTGTACATCATCCTCCTCATCTGAAGAGAGCTCTCGTAAACTACGCCAGGCTGAAGTTCTTCTGGAGCTTGACCTGTGGCAAAAATTCGTCATAACCAACAAGAAACTATCGCAATAAAAAGTTGTATGGAGAAAAAGACCCCGCAGAATTATTGAGGAATGGATTTCCGCCGTTTGTTACAGTTTCTTTTTATGGTCGGCTAAAAATTAACTATGATGATTTTATAGCAGTTCTTAAAAATATCGAATGTGATTTTTATAACAAAACACTTCTCTCAGTCTAATAATTTTGAAGGAGAAAATCATACTCTGCTCTCCATCGCGTTAAAGGTCATTTTTTATAACTTCTGTCGACCGTAAATATGAGAGCTGCAGGTGACTTGGTGCTATTTCCGGTGCTCTGGTGTAGGAATTCGGCGGCCCACAACTCGCGGTGGTGAGTAAATTTCACGCCCAGTGCTGGGGATTTATCGGGTTGTGGAGATTTTTTGTTGCCGGAGCCCTTTGGGGAAATTTAAATGTTTAATTCTTGGAAACAAATTAAAAGGAGGGAATTATTAGTTAAATCGTTATTTCGGCTTCTACCTTCGGGCATTGTGTTGCATCTGAGACTTCCTGCCCTCGGTTGCCTACCAGAAATCTCACTATGTAGAACAAAAATGTCCTTGGACCTCAAGGATTTCCACAAGCACGGGGATTGTCTCAAAAATTTCATCACAAAGAATTTCTTATTTGAAAAAACGAATTTACCATTGTAAACGTTCGTCTTTATTTACGGACAGAAATGCTTATGGCATATCTACAAATAATCTCGACTATACAAAAGGACAAAGAATGTAAAACCGTACCTGTATTTGCTGAAAGTTTCCCTACATTCGTTAACGTCACTGTTCCTCATATCGGCCTTGACTTCCTGTTTTATTTTTTCAGCAACATCCTGATCTGTCTGGCTGGCATAGTACTCTAACAGCTTCTCTTTTGCGAATGCCTCTATGCGCCACTTCCTCCTCTCCTCGTTTATACGTTTTATAGTTTCCGCTGAAAACATCTCGTTGCGACTTATCTCGAACACGCGACGACGCAGCTCTTCTATCGCATCACTGATAAAACACAAAAAGTAGTTGAATTTTCGAAACAAATTAAATTGGCGTCAGGTAGGTCGAGTTAGCCAATTTTGGCATGAAAAAACAAGGCTGAAATTGCTTTAAAATAATCTCAAGGTCTTGTAGAGCAAGGTTTCAACTTAAATCTAGATAGTTGACGATCTCAAAATTTATAAGTTTTAACCGAATTTTTAAACAGCACGGTAACCCAGATCAAATTAGTGGAATTAGTGCAATTTTTCTCTAAAGCTGGCCATTTTCGAGTTATAAGCGATTTACACATACCTCTTTTCTTTCAGCATAAACTGGAAATATTTATAGTGGCTCAGATCATTTGGACCTATCACCAGTGGCTTAGCCGCCAAATCGTTCTTGTATTGTTGCACGAGGTCTTCCAAGGCAGTTATTCTATCTCTAAAAAATAACAAAATACGTCCATTAAATATCGAAACACCCCGAATATTTAGCAACCTGCATCTTTTTTGAAAAAAATGCAAAGAAGCAATTTGTCTCTGATATCATATATAACCTAGATCATGACCTCAGAGGTCAACTTTGTAAATTAAAATACAAACACCAGTTTAGACTCGTGCAAAGCTTGAGATTCTAAATCAGAATACGTTTTGGTATCAATCATAAGTGGTCCAATCGGCATCACCTACATCTACAAGTGCGCGAAGATCTTGAAAACTGGACAACTAGGGATTCTTTTGAAAGAAGGTTGTAGGAATATTATATATATACATGGTGTCCCATTTTAATCTCCCCACCTAAAGGTTTCGAAACATGCGAAACAAAAGTTCCAAACTTGTAGAGTTTCAAGAAGACAAAATGACAGTGACCTAAATAATGACCTTGACTACGACCTTCAAACTCAAGTCAATGTTTTCAAATAGAATCCCCATTTTCACATCGGAATTGAAATGATGTTTGGACGTAAAATTTGTCCTATTTTTTAATTCAGATGTGAAAATGAGGTTCCAATTAAAAATATTCACTTGGCCTTGAAGGTCGTAGACAAGGTCATTGTCTAGGTCACTGGCATATTAACCCTGAAACTTTTGTTTGAAACTTTCTAGAATGCGCACTTTTCGAAGATTAAACTGGGACACCATGTATAATAATCATTGATATTGAAAAACCTCAATTGTGTCACCTTGAGGGAGAGGTAACGTTGATGTATATTTTTCAAAAAAAAAACATCAAAAAATATTTTCGGGTATTTCAGTTTTTTTGAGAGGGTGATATTCCTTGTTAAAAAATATGAAAAAAAGTTTGTATAAACATGAGTCCGGAAATGCAGTTTTCAAAATACAAGGTGATAAATATAAAAAAATTGTTTTTTCTATTAATATCTTAAAAAATATTTACTCGATTCTGTTGAAATTTGGCAATATTATTTGTTGTATTAAGTGCCTAATTTAGCCCGAAATAGATTAAAATATTTTAAAAAAATAAAAACCATTTTATTGCATGTCACTGAATTTATGCTAAAAAGTCACAATTGCCTTGTAAAACAAATAAGGCTGCATAATACAACAAATAATATTGCCAAATTTCAACAGAATCAAGTAAATATTTTTTAAGATATGAATATATATTTTTTTTAATTTCTTACCCTATATCTTAAATTCTCTGTATTTCCGGACCAATATTTATAGAATCATATTTTTTGACAAGGAATCACCCTCTTTTAAAATATATCAGTCCATTTTTCGAAAAACAGCCTGTATAGTTCAATTTCTTTAATATACAAATAACCTGAGACTGCAAGAATTGAATACCATTATCTTTCTCGTTTTAAGTGATTACTAGAACAAACAAGTTTAAATTATTCCCATCTAATCTGGATAGAGCAATGCGCATTCGTCACGAAGAACCTTTTGATCCTGGCACAAAATGCTGACATGCGAACCTGAGAACAAGATAGCAAAATATTGCAAGTATCCTTGGAATTTTTCCAAGAATTTCATTGAAGCATAGAATATATAACATATGACATAATGACAGTAACAGAATATCTTACTGGTATGTCTCTTTGATAGCCGCATCATCTTGTCCTATTTCTTTATAATCTAGCTTCCATTTTTCTGTCAATCTGCAATTCTCCAACTTCAGCCTCCTTATAGTATCTAGATGCTGGATTCTTTCTGCCTTCATTGCCAAATAAGCTTCTTTCATTTCTTTATTTACTTGTTGAAGATGAACCCTTCTGTCAGTAAACGAAAATATGAAAGTCAAAGGAAGAGTCAATCAGCAAATACAGGGTGATTCGAAAAACAAAAGCAATCTTTTTATGGTAGACAGTACATCCAAAAATAAAAAGTGGTTCCTACAATCATAGCTCCAAAAATATCCGATTACCTATAAACAAGGTGTTGAAAATGTCTATACCACTGATGAGACACATAAGGACAAAATACGAATATTCTTCAAATAACGTTGTGGTCTGCTGAGTGTCAAACTTCACTAACTTCAAAATATTTTTAAAGTAGAATGATCTGTTTTTCACGAGGATTGTACCTCAAAGATTAAGACCAATATTTCTCCAAATAAAATCATTCAAAGAAATTATTTCTGGATGAAAAAATACCAGATCTCAAATGACCTTCACAGTCTCCCGATATAAACCTCATTGAAAATACGAGATAAAAATTATTCAAACAAGGATGAACTTTTTGCCACTTTAGAGCAAAAGTGGAGACAGATTGATGAATCTCATATCAAGAAACTTCTACAATCTATGCCAAGACGATGCCAGGTGGTGATTGATAATAATGATTATGCTACAAAATATTAACACAAACATGGTTGGTTTTCTATAATTCAATGAACTTCGCTTCTTTTTTTAATAATTGTTTTGCTTTGTCTATATATTTTTGCCCTTCATAATTCCAGTTTTTTTCAACTAATTTTTGATTGAAGGGAGTCTAATGAATTTATTTATGCATAAGTGAGTATTATGCTATAACAAATTATGTATATAGGTTGGTGTATTAATAAAACAAGTTAAAAAAGAAATACAGCACAATATTAATTTGTCTACATACTTTTGTCCATTACTGTATGTAAAATTAGATACCTGATCTAACAAGGTAAAATATGTTTCAGAAAATTGTGTAAAAATAGTTTTCTTCTTCATTCGGAACGGTTCAGAAAATTATAGTTTTTACGCGATCGGTGTAGTTACAGCAAAAGATATTTATTTTTATTATTACTAATATACTGCATATGCAGAATTTTAGGCCAAAGCCTTTATCCGTTCAGGAGATATAGTTTTTTCAAAATTTTGGAATCACAAACAAAATCCTGTACCTAAACAAGTGGGCATTTGAAGCTTTTTTGTTGTTCTCCAGCCTACTTTCTGCTCTAGAAATATTACCTTTGTTTTTTGAATCACGAATCACCCTGTATGAATTAATGTAAATCATAGAGATAATTTTCTAAATTAAATTGTCATACAACATAATTTATTCTGTGGCAAAAAACAATTGTTACTGGTTCAAAAAATGTAATTTAACTTGACTCAGAACGTACTACAATATATTTAAATTAAAAAATTATCAACATATTTATCACTATTATCAAATGGTTGCCAAAAAAAGTTCAGATACCTATCATCAACTTCAGCAAACAGTGAGTTTCCTTTGCTCTTTCTGTCCAAAGGTTGACTTTTATATGTCTCTAGTTCATTTTTCAAACAGAGTATCTCGTCATTTAGTCTTTGTATTAGATCATTAGCCTCGGTCAGTTCTTCCTTTTTGATAACCAAGCATTCTTTAACAGTAGTCAGTTCTTCTTTACATTCCTGAAAAAAAGCTCACCTAAAATAAAATACTGAACTCCTGTCTTTCTTCAAAGATGTCACAAGGGGCTTTAGAGCAAATACAAAATGGAAAATAAAGACAAAATATGCTATTGGTAAGTATATACAGTGTCTAAACCAATAAATATGGAAAACAAATCATACCTCCATGAATGAAAATGTTTTAACTGCACATATTTTTATGAGCATCTGAGTATCTTACCAGATAATTTGTCTCCAAAACACCATTTTGCTCTTTCGCCTCATCATATGAAGTGGTAATTTCCTCTATCATAGTTTTGTAATGATCAATGTCATCTTTCAAGAGATCTATCTCATCCATCAGCTTTGTTGTTTCTAGTTCAGGTGCAGCCGCATTGAGCTCGCTAATTTCCTCTATTTTTGTTCGTAATTCGCTATTTTCTTCTTCTTTCTTACTGATTTCATGCTCTAGCTCTATCAATTTGCTGTTGTACTTATTCCGCTGTGCACTTATTGTTTCCTCCAAATGTGCGATTTGCTCTTCGTATTTGCCGTTCCTCAATCCGTCTTCCTTTTGCAAGGATTCGATTTCGCCTTGGTACTCCCCTTCCAGTGCCAGTAATCTACCCACTTCTCGCTTCTGATTATAAACTTCCTGCTTAACCATTTCAAATTCTTTCTGCAGTGAAAGGTACTCAGTTTTTAGCGATTCGTAATCATCTGGAATAATCGTAGACTCCTCCATTATGCTGTTAATTTCCTAACTTACACTCGAAAGCTAAATGAAAAGAAAATTTCGTGATACAGCCAGCCACGGTGGTTCAACGCTCAATACAACACAAAAGTAACGGATGAAATTCAAAATTCAAGCCACAAAACACAGGAAAATAAACTATTTGAAAATCCTTGTCATGAATGACAATTGACATTGACAAGTCAAGCACACAACGATAAGACGAAGACTAGAGATAGGAGGAGGTTAAGCTCATAGAGAGGGGAAGCCAAAAGTGTCGAGCACGAAGGCGGGGCAATCTCCTGAGTATCCTGCACAGGAAATGAAAGAAGGACACCTTCTGCGTGCGTACGCAATGTGGTGAAGACCTTCGCTCTCCAGTTGGCTTCTATCTCTTTCTAACATGTGTTGATACCGTTGGTTGATACACACTTCTCTCTCGTACACATTAAACCCAAGCCATCAGACAAATTTGGTTTTCCCTGTTTGATGAAAATCAGTTAAAATTTTGAATTCAACATCACCACATAACCTTAAATGCACTAGCGGTGCGCTACCCGCGACTCAGGGGAGGAAATTCTAGGAATACATGTAACCCTTACGCACCTCTTATCACAGGAGTCCGTGCTCATGTTTTTTAGTGCAACAAAAATGGTAAAACTCTACTTTATCGCATACCGCAAATACTTCATTTCTTACTTTAAAAAGAAAGATTAGGATGTAACTTTTACGAAAATATCATTTTTTCTTTAAGGAACCCTCAGCTTGCTATTTTATAGAACTTCGAAGTTGCATTTTTGGTGGTAATACTCTAGAATAGAACACTGTTTTATATTCTGTCTTTTTTTGCTTTTTGTACAAAAGGATGCTCTAAATTATAAGAATATAACGTACACTGTATAGTACTAAGGAAAATAGATCTGAAACTGTAAAAAATGTTTGTTTTTTGCAAAAAAAGGTTCAAAACCAGACGTGTTATTACACATTATTATCTTATTAGCTTAAATAACAGATCAAAATAATACGTAAATGATGGTATTTACTTGGTAAACTGTGTAGAGGTGTTGTTTTGTGATTTTTCAATGTCTAAATTCTTTAACCATTTTTTTCGCGTATTTTCAATGAGATCAAAGTTTTTGTGTTTATAAGAAATCTTTGAAAGTACAAACAATTCTCTATATCCATTTTATAACGTTCATTTCTTGAAAGATAAGATAAATAATGTCCAATGTTGCCAAGTTTTACCTTTTTCGGGAGAAATACGTAATTAGAAATGAGGTTATTTGCAAAGTAAAAGTCTTAATTTATTGTAAACCGAAAACTAGATGAAATTTTGAACAGTATGTGTCTAAACAGTGTAAAATGCACCAACGGCTCGCGTGACAAAAAATACAAAAGGCACCAGCGGTCATTGCAAGTTCTACAGGGTGACTTCGAAGTTGAGTCATTTATTTTAACAGTGAGTAGATCTGATCAAAAGAAAGGTTTTTTCCTTTAACATTTTTCTGGTAAAATTAAAGTAACAAAGTTATAGGCCTTTAGAAGTTTGAGTACCGCCCTGTCTCAGTAATAATATTATGTGCTCGTGTTTGGCAACAACGGATATAATCGCATCGCATCGGAAACAAAAAAGCGAAAGGATTTGAAACGTTTATCACGATGTTTTTCGTCAGTCGGTAACGCGTGAGTGAATAGTGGTGTTTGTTGCGTGACTCAAACAAAATGAAAAATGGCACATGTTTACGAAAATGCTGAACTTGTGGACATGATTCTTATTCACGGGGGGTCTTTACAAAATGCTGCCGCGGCATCACAGATTTGTGCGAATCGGTTTCCCAATCGAGTGCAACCAACCCCTCGTGCTTTTGTTAATGTAGTACAAAGGGCTCGTGAATCAGGTGACTTAAGACCTCACAGGGGAGGGCATGCCGGTACTCCAAGACCGCACGATCAAATACAGGGCCGCACTGAAATACTTGTCGGGAGGATACTTTATAAAACAAGGTAACATTTTTTTTTATTTTTTTTTATTTTTACACACATATTTTGGTTTATCTTCCTTCTACAATCATTATCTGAAAATTAATGACTCAACTTCAAAGTCACCCTGTATAAAATAGCAAGCAGAGGGTTCCTTAAAGAAAAAATGATATTTTCGTGCAAGTTACATCCTAATCTTTCATTTTAAAATAATAAATGGAATATTTGCGATATGCGCTAAACTATAGTTCAGCCACAAAAATAACTATAGTCCATATAGATAGTTGGGAAAACAATTTATCAATCTCAAGCATGCAATATTCCAAATAATTTGTCCCAACACGAATAGTTTTGACAGACAACCAACTGTCGTTTGCCAGGGCTTCAAAAGTCAAGGGATTTTGACTTTGACAGAACCGTCCAGAAAGTTTATAAACACCCAAACGCTGGTTTTAATCACTGCAAATTGATACAAAATTTCCTTATTTGGGACTTTACACTACCTTTTTTATCAATAAGAGTAATTAAACAGCCTCGCCAAGATGTCTTATATGTTAGCGCATTTGCACAATGGCTGGCAGGTCGACCAAGCCATACTCTCGGAGGAAGACAGAGTGGTGGTGATTCGGTTTGGCCATGATTGGGACCCCTCGTGCATGAAAATGGACGAAGTGCTTTACAGCATCGCGGAAAAAGTGAAAAACTTCGCAGTGATATACCTGGTGGACATTACTGAAGTGCCAGACTTTAACAAAATGTACGAATTGTACGATCCTTGTACGGTAATGTTCTTCTTTAGAAACAAGCATATCATGATCGATCTGGGCACTGGTAACAACAACAAAATCAACTGGCCCCTAGAAGACAAACAGGAGATGATTGATATTATAGAGACTGTATACAGGGGAGCTAGAAAAGGAAGAGGTCTTGTGGTTTCTCCTAAGGATTATTCTACCAAATATCGTTATTAAAGATGTATTTTGCAGCATATGGTTGCATGTAACAGAATATTCGCAGACCGAAAATCTTCGAGAAAGGATTGCGTTATAATTCACACACTGAAAAATAATGTGATATGTAATTTTTTTTAGGGAGCTGTTAATAAAGATAAACAAAGAGATTTAAGAGTATATTGCTTTTCAGTTTTTGGTACAATAATAAAAAGTCTATTTTCATAAATACTGTACAAAAATTGATAAAACTTATCAACTGAATCAGTCAGTGCAAAAACTGCAAAGTTCCATAATTTGAATTTTTCAGGTGACCACTGACAAATAAACCAGTTTTTTTTGGTACTTTTTTGGGTTTAATGTAGTTTTAGGTTCTGAAAGATTAAAATTTATATAACCTTCATGGTATATTAAAGGCCCAAAAAAAAAGGTATGGACTTAGCTTGTTTTAGCAGGAAATAGGCTTAGTGGTATATAATTTGAGAAAAAAATCGTTAATAAACACTATTTTACGAGTATTCATCACGTTTTGACGTCTTACTATGTTTCATGGTTGAATGACAGCTGGTTATCCAGTAATACTTGAAAATTCCCCATAATGACACAGGACACATAATTCTGACGGATCCGTCAACGCCAGGTAGACAGAGCCGTATTTTGTTTTGGTTTTTTGTATGCTACAAATTCATTTTGTACTTCTACTAGCTCTTTCACTGAGAAAAGCTTATTTGCTTATAAAAAACAAAACGCTACAAACAAGTTTTACTAGATTTACATCCGATTCACTATTCAAAACAAGATACGGGTCTGTCACAGCCTCCTTCAGAGTAAGAGTCTACCTGGCGTTGACGGATCCGTCAGAATTATTATGTCATTTGTCAATATGGGGAATTTTGAAATCTTACTAGATAATCGGTCGTTATTCTACCATAATGGATACTCGTGAAAATGACTAATTTTAATTGCACATTATTGAATATGACACTTAAATATTGACTTATTAACATGCTAAGCAGTTTAATTTTGCATGTTTTAGTACATTATTTAGGGTACATAGGGCAACTGAACAACTTGTTTTACATCCAAACCATGGATCGACTGTTGTGAGAAAGTACATAGATTTATTCATTCAATTTTCTTCAATAATCGGCAATCACAACAAACTGAATTTAAAATTGATATTTTGTTGCATATATCAAAATAAAACAATACAGGTACTGTTTTCGAAATGGCAGATTCAAGTACTCGCGGTCGATTAGCGCGTACAAAAACCAGGTATGTCCTGGACTTACGATGTTTTTGCACCGATCTTATATTACGCAGTGCTATTTGAATGGGAAGGAATGTAGTGATATGAGATGAATATGCATCTACCTTTAATGACGCGTTTCCAGCAAAAAAATCATGTTTTCAAATAACTGGACTCGAGTGGTTTTTGTTCTGACAGATTCAATTTTAATACATCCGTTTTCTAGATCATTATTTTACGTTTTTTAAACAAGACAGTATAAATTAGTTTATATAAATAAAGAACACACTTAAAACTAACAAAACGTGCATAGAAATAAGACTTAATTAAGGAATATATCACAATCTTTACATTAGTTTGCCATAGAAGATAGAATCCACGTTTCTGTAAAGCTTTAACAGCAATGATTGATTTTTGTAGATCTATGAGTTTAATGAAAAATAACAGAAACCAAGTAAATGCTGTTGTGGTGGTGGTGGAGATATAAACTGGGCGGGTTCTGCTATGTACGTCTGTGTCACCATCTGTAACCAGAAAAAACTCGAGATGCACATATTACTTCAACATATTGAATTCTAAGGGTCGGTCCATATTTGAACATTCCAGTCAAAACTTAACGCACGCGCTATAATATGCGTATGGTAACATCATAAATTTACATCCGCATTATAAAAATACCGATAAAATCTTCTTGAGACGATTAATGTTTATTGTTCTAAACTCACTAAATGATGCATTATAATCTGATCTAATGGGACATTGGTTGGGATCCCCGTGAATAAATGATCTAACAACACTTTCTATGAAATAGGTATTCATACGATCAGCTATTATTTTTTTGTCTGGTTATTCTTGAAAAGTATAGAAAATGTATTGCGAATTTCAAAAACCCAAAAAATATTCTCCAAGATTCTCATTAATCAATTAAGATCGCGTTTCCTTTAAATTAATTTAGAAAAGGCCATGGTACTTGTCGATTTATATCAAGACATGTCGATTTCTACTATCGTTTAATAGAACATTATTCACCAACCTGTTGATGTCCAACGAACTGATCTGGGACAGCACTGATGACGGTAGGCGTCGCCGCCTGCTGCGATTGGTGAGCATTTCCAGCCGGCTGTTGCGAGGTCATCTCGCGATTGGTCGGCATCCCAGTGGGCGGGATCTCCTGTTTGGTGCGGCAAGTGGCGCTCGTGTTGATGCCATGCCGCCGCTTCATGTGCTTGTTGTAGTTCGGCCAGTTCGTGAAGTGGTGCTGGCACTCTTCGCATGAGTACGGACGTTCGCCTGCAAGACCAAACAGCTCTTATGCCAAGAGAAGGCACTGCGTGGACCTTGGGTATAGCTGCATCACTGTATTACTATGAAAACATAGCGATCTATGAGCGGGCTGTTCGCTCAGAGACGGCTCGGCATCTGACGGGGAAGCGACCACGCACTGTCGCCAAAATGTTTAGAAACTGCTACGTTACAGTGCAGTTCTGGTTAAGGTTTTTGACGATTACGTCACAATTTCATACGAAATAAGATTGTCTTAAGTGTACTACTTTTGCGGAGCTTAACTTAACTTTTTGAAATATTAAAAGAATTGACACATACTGCCGACATTGCAGTTGCATCTTCAGAAATTGCTAAGTTTTATATTGTAGCTAAGGTATACGCCCAGAACGTCTTAAAGACGTCCATTTTATGCACTAATAATGTCTGAACGACAGAGACATTGAAAAGAGACCTTTACGATGTCCTTGGTGCGACGTTTTTAAGAACATCCTAACACGACATAATACAATCATCGTTAAGACGTTTTCTTGTCTTTTAGATAACGTGGTTAAAATTTTTAGAATTCGTGAACATCTAAATAAACTTTAAAATAACATTTAGTTTTTCTTTCACGCAACCACGATTGAAAATATATATCACTTTTTTAAGATTCATATATTTTTTAACCTATGCGAAAGAACAAATCGTTGAAGTTTTCAGGTATCTTTATTATCCATAAACAATTGGCTTTTTCCGGAATCTTTTAAACTTCAAAATTTAACTCATCAATTCGCCACCAGATGACAGTGCGTCGATTAAAGCAAGCACATCTCTATACTTACCTCTGCAACATCTCTAACTCGGGTATCTGTCAGTGCCATTTGTCATTTGTGTCAGTGTTTTTTAAGTCGTAGATAAAAGACGTAAACTGGCAATTGTGTTCTCTCGTTTAAACATTAGAAAAAAGTGTACTGTGGCTTAACAAGTGTAGGCGTCTTTTAAGAATGTAAGATTTGAAACGTAAAAACATTTTGAATTATAATATAAAAAAGTTTGTGGAACAATCTGTACCTATTTATTTATCTCAGTGTCTGCCGAAAGGGCTGGTGTGCGCCAGAGACAGCATGAGGTGGAGCTAACAGTCGGGGCTTGGCTGAGACCAGCTTCAGAGAATAAGTTTGACAACACAAAAAGTGTTTTTTTTTTTAATAAAAACATTTTTGATAATTCGCCTGTTTATTAAGTCTTTTTAATGCCTCACTAAAGATCTTACGAAAGTATTACAAAGACGTCTTCAAGACGCACAGTTTTTGTAACAAACGTCGTCTTTACAACGTCTTCAAGATGTCGTACAGCGTTCACAAGACGTCTTTACAACGTCCCTAATATCTAAAAATGACGTTTTTAAAGTTGTGCTATTTGGGAGGGTAATTTATTGCAAAAGATCGGTACAAAATCTTTACACAAGATTCAAAGCATACTCGGCCAACATAATTTCATCGTATTAAAGATTAATCGTTATGTCATTTTTCATTATAACCGTTTCTTTTTATGTTCTGTGCCTGGAAGTATGTTGAATTCACAAATGGAAAATAAATCGTGTCTTACCTGTATGCTGCCTTCTATGAGTTGTCAGAACTCCTTTGAACCTGAAGCATTTACCACAGAACTCGCATGTAAAAGGCATAGCCCCTGTATGTATCCTGAAGAGAAAAACGAACAAATTACATCAACTCCGCTTCGCGTCGTTCGTGCCAAAGATTCACTTTCCGCACTTGTTAGGTAAATAACTATTTTGCCGTGCATTTTATTGTAAACTTAAAACAGGAAAGTGACAAATGGAAGTACGACATTTTCGTTGGGCCATTAAGAGATGATTGACAAAAAGGTACACACAGCGCGCAAAAGCAGAGAGTCGTGAAACCAACAATATCTCACCTAATATGCTCTTTGAGAGTTCCTCTTTCTCTGAACTCCCTGCCGCAAACATCACACTTGTGAGGTTTCAGTCCAGAATGCACTGACGCGTGCTTCCTTAATCTTATAGACGTTTTAAAGGACTTAGAACAAATCGTACAACTGTATGGTCTGGCTGCTGTATGCGTCAACATATGATTGTCAAGGTTACCTGTATGAACACCAAAATATTAATTACAACAGAGAGATAGACAGCCAAAAAGGAATTACATTTCCGTAATGAAAATGTCTGACCATTTCATGAAATGATCAAAATGGTCACATATTATCAAATGTATCATCTATTGGCCAGATCATGATGTGTGTTGACCCGGTCAATGATAAAAAATTGTTTAATGATACGATTAACTAAACGCGCAGCTACTTCGTGAATATAAATACGACCATTTCATGAAATGGTAAATTTTACGATAGGACCTCGAAATAGATACACAACTTATTTGAAATTCGAAAATTTTCGATTGACATTGGATGCCAAAAAATATACTCATATCCGAATGTTTCTCGTGAGACGTGCTCGCAATATCGACGCTTAGACAACCAGAGTTACGCCGCTGTGAATCAAGAGCGGTATAGCTTGGGAACGCTGCGCCGAAAATTGACTTTGAATAAAAGCGGTTGTTTTCGATACATTACATTAAAGTTGTTTATAACATTAGACAAGACCGCCAGTCCAACTAGCGTCATCTGCTTATACCTTTCTAGCATACTCAAAAAGTGGGCGTCTATTTGCACCGTATTGTGACAAATATCACCATCTGTTGGGCGACTCTCCTACTAGCCAGAGCTTAATTGCCGATCTCTGCTTTTACGCGAACCACGATCGCACAAGCCGCCTGGCGGCGTCCGTGATGACCATGACAGTGGATCGCCTTCTAGATCGACGCGAAATGATCTCCGACATTCTAGATGTCGCTTTGTGGTACACCTCGGCGGGCGGGAGATGGAGGCAGAGTACGGAATACGGTAGAGTAGCAGCGCGGTGTGAGGTATAGTGCAGTCGACGGTGGCATAAGAATTAGTCAGACATAAATAGTGGTGTATATAAATGTTTTATCAAGGTAAATAAATGAGTGGATTTCTTTTTGTGGAATCCAGTGTTTTAATCCATACCCAAAAGAACCCAGAAAAACGCTACAGTATTTACCTTTCTGAATAAACCCTTTTCCGCACTGATCACAGGTATAAGCTCTTACGCCAGTATGGATCCTTTTGTGAGCCATCAGGTTCGGTTTTGTGCCGAACTTTTTAGGGCACTCGTCACATTGATACCTATTCTTTATGTCTGCTGGTAGATGAGACCTGACGTGCAACTGAAAATTCCGTCATTAACAAAATCAATGACATGGGAATTTCAAACTTACCAATAAAGCTGACTGCATACGGAATCTTTTCCCGCATGTGGCACACGTATGGGGTCTCTCGTCATTGTGATGGTTAACGCGATGATTTTCCTGTTAAGAAGTTTTGAATTACGTGGATCAAGCCAAAAAGTACACCAGACAATTGTTAGAGAATAGAGACTGTTCAAAATGACTAGGTACATCTAGCTATGAGGAATACTAGAAAAGAAATCTACCTAGCCATGAAAACAACGAAACGAATATACCATATTTCACGAGTATCCATCACGCTTTGACGTCTACTGAGGTGAACAGCTGATCAGCAAGTGACATTTTTCTGTTAGTCTGCGACATTGGCTATAATGAATCGGGAGTAAATCTAGCAAAAATTTGTTTGTAGCGTTTTGTTTTTTGTATGCAAATAAACTTTTCTAAATAAAAGAGCTTTTAGCAAGTACAACATGAATCTATAGCGTACAAAAAACCAAAACAAAATATGGTTCTGTCTACCTGGCATTGATGGATCAGTCAGAATTATGTGCCGTCTGCCGATATGGGGAATTTTGAAATATTACTAGAAAACCAGCTGTCATTCTACCGTGAAATAGGGTATACGTCTAATAGTGGCATGGGTGCTCTTACCTTACTTGCAAAATTTGAGTTAATTTTGATAATCAGTTTTCAATTTATTAAGTGAATTGTGAGGAAAAATTAGTAACTTAAAATGAGAATATAGCAGTGTCATAAAATTTCTGACGAAAGGAGATGATGCACCATAATATTACACAATAAAATTTTGGTTGAAACAGTTCTAATGGGAGAGTGAATCCTTAGAAGGCTATCCCAGTAGTGGAAGACTCGAAAAGCAACAAATGATGAAATGACTCAAAAAATTGAAGCCATGGTTCTGAAAGCTCGTTGACTTTTTCGAGAGTTAACAGGAAACATTATTTTATAAGGATATAAGTTCACTAAAGAAGAAATGGCTCAAGTGCATTAATATTGAAAAATAATATAAAAAAACGTACGTCTTTTGTTTCATGGCTAGGTGGCTCTTTTCTAGTGTACCTCAAAGAATACAAAACTGCATTCTCCTCATCAGGAACTTCTGATAAGTTTCAATTACACCAAGACCATTTAAATTGCAGAAGATCTTGACCTATAGCCTGCTTGATCTCCAAACTTAAGCCCCTTAGGGCTTTATAGTCACTCAATAATTGTAGGACGCCTTTCCGACCAGCTTGATTTTTATAGTTTTTCCTGTCCTTCAGAAAGGCGCTCTATTTTGAGGTTATGTTACAAATATCTATTTGCTTCAAATTATTCATGCTTTTGATTTCTACGATCTGTTTAATCAGCCTGAAATTTCCTGCAAATCAAAACGTAACTAGGAGACGTTACGCTAACACGGAACAGTAGAAATCTAGAAATACCTCTGCCATTCTGAAGGAGAGAAAATAATATGAAAATCAAGTAGGCAATAAAGGCATCCTACAATTATTGTAGGGACGACTGACGATACGGCCTTAAACTGTTCTCTGTGGTGCTATCCAGAGTTATCAGTTTACAATTCTAGTGGTGAATCGTATTTGAGAAAGAATAAATGGATTTTTTTCTTTGATTTTGTGAAGGGTTTGCGATCCGATTCATGCAAGGCGCATATGTAAAAAAGCTGAAATTCTGAGATAACATTTTACCTGATCGTCTGCTGTCGTAAACCACTTAAGACACACATCACATGTCAGCGTTAAATGCGGCCTATGCTGACGTACATGAACTATAAAAGTACCATATTTTGTGTATGTTTTAGAACAATCTGCACATACAAAACGAGCAGGCGCTTCATGAGTGTTAACCCAATGCTCCTTCAATTCGTCAGAAAGTGAAAACACCTAAACAAACAAGTTAAATTGAATCACATCAGAATGATTCCAGAAAATGAATATACAGGGTGTTAATTAAGTATGTACCATAAAGACGATTCTTTGAGTAATTTTAAGTCAAAAAATGCATACAAACATAGGTCGTTTTTGAGATACAGGGTGTAGAAATTTAAAAAAAAATTTTATCATAAATTCCTCAAATATCTTATACCTAATTTTGTTTAATTTGGCAGTGGTCATTAAGGAGCAAAATATTTCCTCCATTATTTCCACCGCCATCTACCATATGACGTTGACGTCTGTGGATATGTCATATATGAGAGGCGCTTACCTGCGGTGTTGCCCGATTGGGCTCCGTATTTAGGAAAAACAACAGTAGTAAAATTAAGAGTGATTCTTGCTAAGTATAAAACAAAAAATAACAAACAGCAGTAAAATCAAAAGCAATTCTAAGTGATTATAAAAAACAAGAAATTAAAACAGTAGTAAAACAAAAAACAATTCCATTTAATTATGAAAAAACAAAAAATAACAAACAGTAAAATAAAAAGCAATTTGGATGGAATGAAATCGATCTTTGTTTTACTACTGTTTTTACTTTTTGTTTTGTGTTGTCACTTAGAATTGCTTTTTATTCAACATGGAATTGTTTTTTTTTTGTTTTACTACTTTTTATTTTACTGCTGTTTGTTATTTTTTGATTTTTATAATTACATGGAATTAGTTTTTGTTTTACTACTGTTTTTATTTTTTGTTTTTTATAATTATTTATAAATTATCGTTTTTTAGATTAAGTACTACTGTTATTTTTTGATTTATACTTATTAGGAATGCCTTTTATTTTGCTACAGTTGTTTGTTTCAGTTTTTCGTTTTTATGATTCATTAATTAATATACATACATATGTATAAGAATTTTCAACTTTTCATATTTTTCCCTAAATGATAGATAGATGGGGGTGGAAATGATGAATGAAATAACAGCTAGAAATACAATCTTTTTTGAAATTTTTTTCATGAAAAGCATGCTTCATCCACACTTTTTTTGTTTCTAAATAATCAGACTACCCTTTAAAAGTTTTAAGGGAAAAAACAGTGAAATCGGAAGTTCTACAAGACGCAACAGCACCTAATTTTTCGTTAATAATTATGTAACAATAATAACAAATACTAAATAACATTAACAAATTGAGTAACAAAAAAAATTATAAAAAAAATAATAATTTCTACAACATTTCCCCATATTCTTTGCGTGATCCAGGGATATGCATTTTTTTCTCAAAAACTCAGCAATATATGCATTCAAAATACTAACCAAATCACAGTCACAACATGTCCAAGGATATGAGTTCCAGCCTTCTGGATTGTTTTTTGGTACTACACTACCATCTTCATGTATATTAAACTCAATGTCAGGCACTGTGACTACTTTTATAATCTCTTGTTTTTTCTTCATACACTTTTTCTGAAATAAATACAGTATGGCATATTTTTATTTAATTTAAACCAATGATGCCAGCATAGTTATTGTGGTTTTTCAAAAATTCAAATATCTGATGACCTTTTAAAGGTGTATTATGTTTGGAAAAAATGAAATAAAATGACATCATAATTGTATTCCAGGATTGACACAAAAATCAAATAAAATCTGGGAATTGATACCTTGGATAATTCAATCATACTAACAATTTTATTTTTAAATTCTTTCATCATAATTGCACAAGAATAAGGAAAATGATGGAAGATATTCTTTTTACTTTCTAGGCCACTAGCAAGGAAGTATTGTAATCACAAAACACAAATGGCCTTTACTTTACCTTTAGTAACTCAAAAATAATCTGAACACTACTACACTATACAAAATTCACCTTAGTCTTATTCTTCTTTTTCTCACAATGTGACTGAGCTGACCCCTCCGATACATTGCCCCCATCATTAGGATAATCACACTTCAGTATATTCTTGCAATCTATATAATGAAACTCCACCATAGATCTTTCTCCATTCTCTATCATTTCATTTTGAACTATTGAGACTACTTGACTACTTTGGTCTTCCAAGGCATTCTGACTCGAAAGGATATTGGGCACCCCATAAGCAAGTTCCCTGAGGACGTCCTGTGCTTTTTGTACTTGGTCGTGGAAGCTCCACACTTTCTCTACCATATCATAACATTTGCCGCAAAGGCAAGTCGGTAAATCGTCAGGGGCCGATATCTTAACCTGAAATAAACGGAATATTTTCTCACACAATTCCACGTTTCCAAAGATAGACATGTTCTTGGCCGAACATTCGGCACACAAGCGACATCGGGCATTCATTTCATCCAAAAAATGTAGTTTACTCTCAAAGAATACGCAAACAATTCATTTTTCGGGCTTTTGTTTAAAAGGTTTCAAGTTTATAAACAAACTGTTGACATTTGTTATGTTATGACAGTGACAGCAGTCAAGAACTAATAGAGGTGATGAAGCTCTTCCTACACCTACAGATAAATCGTATCGAATATTGCATTAGTGATCGAGTAGCGATTTCGGTTATCAAACAACAATACCTCTCAAGCGTCAAAATAGCACTTTGCGCTCGGCCGGAGTGCAACGAGCATTTGTTTCGCTTGATCGTTGCATTTTGTAAACATGCAAACACAATAATATAATATTTGTGTGTCACTTATTAGATGCACAACTCCAGTGTATGTATATGCAACCCATCATACTTGAAAATAAAAATTTTATAGTTTTCCCTTGACAAATGACATATTGACATTTCGCTTGTTTTTCAAGGCAGAACTTGGATTTCTGCTTTTATTTTTAATTTTCTCCTACCAAATAAATTAAAAAAGGGTATTATTAGAATAGAAGTTGGATCCCGTATCGAACTAAGGACTACGCTTGCCACAAAATGTAAGTCTGACCAGTTTCGTTTCATCTTTAGCATAGAGAAGTCGTGTCTGTTGAATTTCATCTTGTATTTTACGTTGTCGTAACTGAAAGCGGTCTATTTACCGTTGTAAACGTGATGAAGCATGAAGGATGAACCCATAGGACGGTTGTAATTGATATTTGCTTGTGGCCTTTCAGGCGAGACACCTGAACATTCAAACTGTAACATGTTCCTATGGACCAAACTAACGACATATTCTCACTGAATTCAAAATGCCCTGTCGATTTAGATGAGGTGCTGAGTTACGGCAATGAAAAGAAAAAAGTTGCCAGACGTCGGTGGGCTATTTTGGCCAAGGCTCTTAAGGTATTCCCATTCACTTTTATCTACACTTTTTGTTTGTTCTTTTGTCGTCCATCCATACATATCTGATGCATCCTAAAGTTTTGATAGTAAGGACTGTAATTTCAAGTCTTCTTTTGCTCTTTCAGGTGTGTAAAACTAATAGCTGATCATGTTTATATTGAGAGACATACAATTGTAGCCTCATCATTTGTTTTCAAGATATAAACAAGACATTCAAGTATCAGAACTTATTAGAGAGAAATAGTGTAATGAAAATGTGTATTGAAATGAGTTACTTGCTATACAAATTAAAAACTGCCCTTTAACTGAATCTCTTATTGACACCTTTCATTGGCAACTGTTTTTTTTTTTTGATGATTTATCCAATTTTTGTTTAATTAAAATCTAGTGATCTGTGAATCAAAGCCTGCTTTTACCTGATGGCACATTCAGGCAAAGCATGCTTTGTGATGAGTAAAAAAATGCTCTCAAATTGTTTCATCATTTGGGGATCTTGCTGCTAGAGACAGTCAGACACAAATACACAACTAGCTAAACTTATGACACCCTTGTTGCCTTGGTGGTTAAAAATGCAAAGGATTTCTGTCCATTAAGCCCTTAACTTCCATATGCGAAATTTGTATGCCTCAAAGAATAAATGAACTATGATTGAACTGTGTAAATATTTTAAACATAGTTAGAGATACCACATATAATTTTCATTTCCAAGAAAAACATAAATTATGTTAATATTGTGGTGTATGAATGTAGGTATGTTACCTGAGCTGCAGGTAAAAAGAAATAGTACCTATTGTTAAACAACACATTGGCTTAGAACTATAATATAAATCTAACATTCTGATGAAATAAGTTTGCAATATATTTTTTAATTCCATTATCCTAGCAAGTCATAAAACTAAGAAATGCCATCTTGAAAAAATAAATCATTCTTTTAAGAGATTTCTTTGTATTTTTATAGGTAAAAATTATATCTTGAGCTGTAAAAAATTAAACAAAGGAAATAGTAGATCAGTATCTTTATTTGTTATGAAGATTTATATTAAGAAATAGTCTTAAATTACAATTTTCAAGCACTGCTGGACAGGAATGCTATGAATGGTTGTGCAAAAAGTACCAATATGTCACAATTTCAAGCTATTCTACCTTAAAATGCTTTTCATAGCCGCTTTATAGACGAAAAAAAATGTTTTCAATTATGCCTCATATTTTATCTTGGTCATCATCTAAAACCAGTTCGACAAAAATTTTATTTCTACTTTTTGTTCCATTTAGATCCACTAAAGGTTCAAATGATGAGATGTGTAGCTTCTATTGTGATATTATAGCAACTATTTCCTTTAAAAGAATGTATTGATAAAATCTAGTGTGCCATGGCATGACATTCTAGGACAAACAGGTAATAAACAAAAGATTAAAGATATTGATTTGCAGTTCTACCCATTTTATAGAATTTGTTATATACTTTGCAATCATTATAAAAAAATATATTTTTGTGAAACGCGGCCACAAACTACACGAATCTGAAAAGGTTGATCATTCATCTAGATCACAGGTGAATACTCTTTCAATTGAAACCAATATTATCAAAATTGGTTCAAACAGAAGTTATCTGACTCCTTCTGAAATGACATGCAACCTTTCCCCCACCCCATACTAACCAAAATATGAGAAAGCGACGTACAAAAAAGCTCGGAAATTGAGCAGTCAACACGGTTGGGCTATTTAATGCCTTTGTTGAGCATGGTTTTTTGCAAAATAATGGCGTTTGAATTTTAGGAAGTTGAACATAATTTACAGTGATTTATCTTGACTCACTTTTATGGTACAGTGTTTTATCTGATAGCTCTAGATGGACTGGTAGCCGAGATCCAGCTCGCGTCTATTATTATTGGCCCACCCAGTACATGGATCTCATTTTACAATACATACAATAATTATAAATGGTATTTAGGCCAGATGCTTTTTTATAGTTAAAGCATATGAGGATTAAACAGTATAATTTTAATTGAATCAGCATAAAATTTAACCAATCAAAACTGCTTTGTCTTTGATTATGTATTGTATTTGCTATTATGAAGATGTAACTAATAAACGTAGACATTTGGCAAGCATTTACCTCTATTGTGATAATAATAAAAGATGCAGTGCCAAGATTTTTCCATATGCCAGTGCCAGTTAATGCTTATTTTTTTTCACACCTTTCACGTAATAATGTACACTCTTTATGTGGTGACTCATACAGGCGCCAAAATTGAATACATATCTATGTGGAAGGTTTTTTATTAAAAAAAATTAATAAGTTATTATATATTATAAATACTCTAAAAATGAGAGAATAATATTTATTCAAATATTAGTATATATTGCCATGGATGGATGTTGTCATTATTATACTATCAAAACTTGGGATGCATTTTGTTTTTTAATCTGGATCGATCAGGTTCTGCTCAAGTAGTTATAGAATAAGGGATGTTTTAATTAATTCATTATGTTGGCTCGTATTATCTACTTATTATCAATCACCGAGTTGTATCTTCGATTTAATAGTGAAACTTGACACTTGCAGTAGAAAAAACTTGAAATCATTTTCATCATTCACTTCATTGAGTTATATTTTAGTATGCTATTAAGTTAGTTGAATGATATCTCTTGTGCCAATATTGTATCACTTGTGTTGCTACCTTGGTTTTAGGCCAAATAGACGAATTGCTGAAAAAAAACACGCCTGGTTGTAATATTCTGTTTTCATGTTACCATAGGTGACTCAGAATCTCGTGAACCAGATGTAGACAAAATTGTAATCTCAAACAAATTAAAATGCATGAAATATCATGGCTAATTTAAAAAAATAATATCACGCTGTTAGGGTGGTTGTCAATCATATTTTCATCATCATGGCAAAACGCAACCATGACCAAAAAGTGGCTACAAATTCAAGGCTGTTGCAATCCCAAAAGCGATTGGAGACCCTTTTGGGAACGCCCTACTTGTATCCTGTCTTGCCAGGATTCTAATGTGCATCCTAGTCTCGGCGACCATCACAATGTGTGCCAAGTCGGAATCGTTGGTCAAACCTGAGCAGTTTCTGTTCAGGTGTCAACAGTCGTGGAACACCTATCTAATGCTGCCACTAATTTTGGGGCTTTGAAGCTTTTCCTCATTTGAGTTTGATTCGTATCAGGCTGTGTGCTCTGGATTGGGATGAGAAAAGTTTCCTGTAAATCTATTTTGGAATCTGAAGATGAATTTTCTTGCACTGGTTCGTAAGATGATCTCGAAGGCCATAACGAAGCAACATACGAGGGATGACTTTTAAGTGTTGTATATGGAAATAAAACAACACGGTAGGTAGTTTCAAATGACTTTTGGCAATCAAATGGTGGTATACCAATCCGCAGTAACAGTTCTTTGCTCATTAAGAGAAATTGTTGCAATATGACCCGCTTTTGACACAAATGTCGCGACCATCTTTTTCGAAACACTCCGAGAACGGATGACTTTTGTTGGCTTTTCTTCACCTTGGAACACCCAAACAGCCTACTGTCGTTTATTTTCTGGTTCATAACAGTAAATCCACGATTCATCACCACTAACAATGCTGTACATATTTTTTGAGTTTCCGGAATTGAAACAGTCAAGCTTTTTTGACACCAATTAACCCTGGCTGCTTTCTGCTCTTCAGTCAACAGGTGGGGTATCCAACGAGAAACCAATTTTCTTACTCCTAATTCTTCATGTAAAATGTTTTGAATTGAGGTCTTTGAGATTTTCAAGGACGCCGCAATCTCGCGATATGTCACATGTCTATCTTCAATGATGAGTTTGCGCACAGCATCGACGTTTTCCTGGGTGACTGCCGTTTTTGCTGCTCCCACCCTGGGATCGTCGCTAAGACTCACACATCCACGTTTGAATTCTCCATACCAACGGGAAATTGTCGACTGATGTGGCGCTTCATTGCCGAAAACAGACACTAACTCAGCAAGGCATTCTTGTTGCGATAATTGTCTCTGAAAGTTGTAATAAATTATGGCGCGAAAATGTTCTCGGTTGAGTTCCATTTTTCTAATGACTTGGTGACACTCAAAAATTCACTGTAGTGAGAACACTGCACGTATCGTTGTGAAACTTTGAATTTAAGTTTACCAAAGAGTGAGGTTAAGATTCAGTACTGACGTTCGATCCGCGCGGCCTACTATGTTCCTACAGTATATTCAGATAAGAGATAGACCGGACATAAACAAGACCACGTGATCATCGAACGCTGTAACATTCGGCAGGGACGTATTAAGAGTCACGCAGTACATATTTTAGATAGTAGATGCTGCTTTGCGTAACTTTGTAGTAAATTAGCACAATTCGATGTGTATACGATTGGTGATCGATATAGGATCATGTGGGGGTGGGGTAAGAAATATATAATGATGTAAATATACATAAGGGTTTCAAAATGTTCGCTTCGATTTCCAGCTTCGGATGCCGCCTGATGTTTGGTGAAATACAGTCGAATATAATCTCAAAATGGCGTTTAAATTAGCCTAAATTAAAAATAATCGTATATCTCTTAAAATTGCTTTTAGAATATTGATTAGTATATTTTTTGATTTCTAGGTAAATATGTAACCAAATTAAAACGTTCAAAACGTAAAAAAATGTGCATGGTTGAACATTGTCAGAAAGTAGATTCTTGAATAGGTTTTGCCAAAATGGGTTCAAAAATGTCAATAATTAATTAAAAAATACAGTAGCTTTATAATTACTTATAACTTACCGAATTTGATGAACGACATCTTTTATTGGAAAGATGAGCTTGATGAGCTTTCATCATCGCTACTGCCTGAAGCACCAACGTCAATAATGAATGGCTCGACTTGTTCCTCTAAAATATTGTCCAGTTCCCACATTCTCTTTTCAACTTTGTCTTTCACGTGCTTAATACAGTTTTCCCATTTTTGCGCTGTTATTAATTCTAGTGCTTCTTTGAAAAGTCCTTTGAGGTCACAAAATTTAAAAGTTGTATTGTGCTTAGCTATATAATTTTTAACCTCTGCCCATATGAGCTCAATGGGATTGAGCTCGCAATGGTATGGAGGTAAACGGAGCACAGTTTTATTTTGACTTGCTGCCATTTCGCCTTGTGATCCTTGACAATTCTTAATAATTGTACTTTCAGCATTGCTTCTTCAAAGTTGATATTTTTCGAGCGGAGCCAATTTTGAACATCAACTTTCCTTGAAGCCGTTGTTGGGACCTTCTCCATTCTTCGAGAATGATAAGGCGCATTATCCAACACAATTACTGCGTTTTCCTCTAAGTTCGGTAAAATTTTTGAAAACCACTGTTCAAACGATTCGCCATTCATTTCCTCGTGGTAATCCCCAGTTTTCTTAGACTCAAAGCACCACAGACCGTTAACAACAAATCCATCCTCACTGCCAATATGGCAGATAATGAGCCTTTTCCCTTTACCTGGAAATCGAAGTACTAACTGGTGTAGATTTATTTCAATAAGCGAACCTTTTTCAAATGTTTTCATCACATTCAGCGAAAAAACATTGAGACATGAGTATCAGATTGCTATAACTGGGATTATTTAGTCATATTGAAAGAAAGAATATTGAACGTCGTATGATTACTCAGCGCTTCACAATTTAATTTAAAGTTATAAACCTTTAAAAAATGAATGATCAGGAACCTGAAATACGCGCAAATATTAATATTAACAAATTATAACTTTATAAAGCTTAAAGTATGAATTAAAATGATTAGAAATATTAGGAACGGTACACAATATAAAACTTAGTAACTTTTTTTAAGTTTATAATATTCGACATATTTTAAGATTATATTAAAAAATTATTGAAATATCGAAAACACATAAAAACATGGCTTAAAAAAGTTCTAACAAATGAAAATGACAATAAAACATCCACGCATTTTATCGAAAGTTATAAAAGTTTCGTTACTTGTAATATGTTTTATCTGCCCCCTGGAATTAATGTTTAGAACCTTGTTCCCAAGGTTTGAAAAACATCCGATTGTTGTCTATTACTCGTATTTACCTGCTGGATTTTTTAATCCGGTGGACAGTCCATCTAGAAAGGCCCTCCTGGATGAAGTTACAGAATCATCAACCCATACTTTACTTGTAGTGTGTCCTGCATTTACCCACGTTTCATCAAGGTAATAAATCTTCCTGTTTTGATTTCTATATTTCCCAATTTTTGTTAAATAATCCCTCCTCCATAGCACAATTTCTTCTCTATCCAGTAGTAAACTATTACGACCCCGTTTTTTCCATTTGAAATTTAAATGCTTCAGTAACGCATGGAAAGTTGATCGTTTGAAATTTGGCAACGTTGTATCTCCATTTACCTCCTGCAGTACTTTATCTATAGTAGGTATTTCATTCCTAAAGAAGAATTCATGCACTTTCCTCCTAATCGCATGCTTATCAGCTTCATCCAATGATTTAACAATACTTTTGCGATGTTTACTAGTCATTGGCTCAGAAAAGGTGTGATTTTTTTTTGTATTGTCTTAACACATTAAACACTGATGCGCGACACACCCCAACTTTGAGAGAAACCTTCACAACAATTTCTTTGATGGTTGATGCCTCGTTCTCCTCGCGCTCGATCTTATATATATTTAAAATGACCTCTTTCATTTCTGCACTCAGGTGTCTTTTTTTAGAGCGTTTCCTAGGTGGACTATAGGAGTTTACAACTTCATCGGCAGTATCTGTACTACTGGGCATTTTGCGCAAGCAGTTGATAACAATAACAATCAATAACAAGGTATAACAATAACAACGACAAACTCAACAACTTAATAAGATAACAAACGAAAACGTCCAAAGAAATATCAAATTGCAATGATGCACACGACATACGTAACACGTCTGAACCTGAATGTGACTCTGCCTTGATACGACTGCTCTGCCGCTCGGCATAGGCATTTAATTGCGAATTGACCAATGAGGGCTCCTGTTTTACGTCGAGACGGCGGCGTTAGCGTGAAAATCACCCGAACCTTTTGTTTACATCCGGTCTATCTCTTATCTGAATATACTGTATATACAAAACTTAAAAGACTTCCCTCGTATTTAGCTCACCGCTTTTGTTCTTTAGTGTTCCTAAGATGCGCCTTTTTTTCTTTTATGGCTAATTTCTTATCCACCCCAGGTTGACCTGGCTCTCTTTGTCGCTGCAAGATTCTATCTTCATTTATTTTCATCAATGCTTCGGCATTGCGCAATATTCCAAGTTTCCAAGTTCGTAACAAACTCCTGTCAAAGTTGCTCAAACACTTCTTGTGTTGTTAACTGTCGTTCACAGCTTAGACGTATAATATGTCATCAATGATGATCCCCGAATAAAGATTATTACTATTATCAAACCAACCGCTCGTACGATCAATCGCGAGGATACATCTGGTTCGCGAGATTTCGAACCATCCGTTACGTATTCGAACTAGACGAACCCCAGACATATGATCCGTTATCTCTCAGAGCCCGACAGTAAGCCAGCCGTCCAGTCCCACCGACGAGATCTCTGTACGTCGCATCTCATCCTTCATGCTGCTCAAAACGCAACAATTGCCGCACATACCGTTCGCATCGAATCGCGAAAGTGTCGTCGATATTCCCGATGCTCTCAAGAAGAGGACCTGGTATCAGTATTCCACGTACATCGATGGTCGCGAGTATTTCGTCAACGTGGGACATCGGAATAGGACGTTCTCAGGTAATTTTGCAGTGTGAGGGACAGTCAAGGCATAGTAAAGGATATACAGGGTGACGGGAAAATAGATGCGGTGCCGGTGGGGGGAGATAGTACAAGTCAATCTGGGTCGATTTTACTATAGGAACTACTGTCCGAAAATTAGCCGTTTTCGAATTATACTAATTTTTAAGATTTTATAAAATCAACGTCCTTTATCAATCAGTCAATAAATAACCTTTATTTTCGTACGCTACAAACCTACAATTAATCTCAAATTGCAATGTTCAAAAATTGATCATCACGATAAAAGCACTTGTTTATCGAAAATTGCTTCTACTGGAACTTGAAGTCGTTAATATTTTTAACCGAGGTAATTTGGCATGGTAAATTATCAAGAAGAAGCGGACCAATGTTATTAGGTGATCGAAATGCCGCTTTTGATTTGCTGAAGTTTACATATAAATTATTACAAGTCCTTGTATCATAATTATGCATATCACAATTCCGCTTGAATTTTTCATTATTTTTAAAAACATGTAAGCACAATTCATATATACAGGGTGACTTTGAAGTTGAGTCATTAATTTTCAGATAATGATTGTAGAAGGAAGATAAACCAAAATATGTGTGTAAAAATAAAAAAAAATTTACCTTGTTTTATAAAGTATCCTCCCGACAAGTATTTCAGTGCGGACCTGTATTTGATCGTGAGGTCTTGGAGCACCGGCATGCCGTCCCCTGTGAGGTCTTAAGTCACCTGATTCACGAGCCCGTTGTACTACATTAACAAAGGCACGAGGGGTTGGTTGCACTCGATTGGGAAACCGATCCGCATAAACATGTGCCATTTTTTATTTCGTTTGAGCCACGCAACAGACACCACTATTCACTCACGCGTTACCGACTGACACTGACTGTATACAACTGAATGAAATAATTGTAAAAACATCGTTCCAAATTCTTTCGCTTTTTTGTTTCCGATGCGATGAACCGATAAGGCGGATTATATCCGTTGTTGCCAAACACGAGCACATAATATTATTATTGAGACAGGGCGGTACTCGAAACTTCCAAAGGGCTATAACTTTGTTACTTTAATTTTACCAGAAAAATGGTAAAGGAAAAAAACATTTCTTTTGATCAGATCTACTCACTGTTAAAATAAATGACTCAACTTCGAAGTCACCCTGTATATATACAACGAAGGGACAGTTAAAATGTTGAAACTTTTAAAATATTTTTTGCAACTTTCTGTTGGTGAGATGCCTGCTAATGATCGGATGCATCTTTTTTGAGACACAAATACATCTTCAGAGCGCGTTGACCAACCCCAGAAACATAATCCATATCTGAATCTCGAATCCACATTAGCAAAATAAACTTGTATCAATTGTTCGGCTGTTAAGATGATTTTTAATTGCCTCAACACATAGCTTTGAGAGTACATTTTTGATGTAAGACATTCGCAGTGGGCCTTCCAATTTAAGTTCGAATCAAAATGAACTCCAAGGAATTTCACTTCTCCTCTAAAATCGAGTTGATCGTCATCCAATCTTGAAACCCTTCTACAGTTTTTTTACGTTAACCAAGTCATAAAACTTGAAAATTGGGTGTTTCATTTGATTCTTTTTTGGTTTTACAATAAAAATATTCTAAAATACGAAAAGTGATACTCAAATGTACATTATTGACGTTATCTCATGCATAAGCTTCAAAATAGTTCGATTTTTGTTAAAAAAATCTTCGTTCATCTCAAAAGCTTCAGTTTACTAGAAAAAGTCGCATACAAATTTTTCGTACAAAATAATTAGAAAACATCTACGTTTCATTACCTTTCAAACGAGGTATAAAAATCACAAATCGATTAAGAATTGGCAAAAATAGGACTATTATAAGAGGAGGAAATAAAAAGCAATAAAAATACTACACTTACAAAATCATACCTTCATTCAGGATAAAACTACATTTTTTTATTTTTATAATACATTTTCGATTTGGCGCCCTCTATTTCTAATGCACACACGTGCTCTTCTTATGACAGCTGATTTTACTACCGCCGAATTCCTAAGACAGGCTTGAATTTCTTGTATTATCCTGTTTCTGAGGTCTTCTATTGTGGGTACAGGATTTTGATCAGAGTATACTAAAGTTTTCATGTGACCCCACACAAAAAAGTCCATAGGTGTCAGATCGGGACTGCGTGCTGGCCATGGAAACTACTGATTTAACCAATTTCTAACACTTAGTCTGAAATGGGAGGGAGGGGGGTGACTAGTCTTGCGTATCACACTATTCCGGTGGCAAAGTCCGATGTTCGCGGCTCTACCTGTTTCTTTCACTCATATCTTTGTCATTTCTAAACCGGTTTATGACTTTGATACCTCGTTTGAGAGGTAATGAAACGTAGATATTTTAAAATTGTTTTGCACGAAAAATTTGTAGGTGATTGTTTCTAGTAAATTGAGTTTTTGAGATGAACGAAGATTTTTTTTAACAAAAATTGAACTATTTTGAAGCTTACTGCATGAGATGACGTCAATAATATTCATTTGTGTATCAATTTTCGTATTGTAGAATATTTTTATTGTAAAACCAAAAAAAAAAATCAAATGAAACACCCAATTTTCAAGTTTTATGACTTGGTTAACGTATTTTATAAAATCTTTAAAATTAGTGTAATTTGAAAACGGCTAATTTTCGCACAGTATTTCCTATAGTAAAATCGACTCGGATTGGCTTGTACGATCTCCCCCCACCGGCTCCGCATCTATTTTCCCTTCACCCTGTATACAGCGAAATCTCGTGACATAGAAAATGCAACACCGACTAGGGATGCTGTAATTTTGAGCATACTTTTACAAGTCTTAGGTCTACTGATAAATAGACAGTGATTAAAATTTTAAATCGAAATTTCGCAAAATAGCTGAGATATCCCATCTTAGTGTTTATAATGTGTTCTGTTCGCTATACATTCGTTAAATCGTCGCGGCATTGATTGGATTAGGTGATGATGTCTTCTTGGTGTATTGTATCCCAGCACATCTGAATTTAGTTTCGTAGAACATGATAATGCAATGAAACAACAAAGAAACAAATGGAAACAACACAGAAAAATCACTGAACATTAAGTAAACATGTTCATATTCTTGGAATGCCTCCAGCATTTTATCAGCGTATATACCAGTACTTCCATGATAGCAAATATTTATACAAGTTTTTATCAAAATTCAATAAATAATTCTGGGTGTTGCATTTTATATGTCACTTGCATATCTAACAACTCAAATTATAATTATGGAATAACAACTTCAAACAATCAAAAACATCTTTTTTACTTTTATCAGTATTTGATTATAAATTTTTCACAAATAAGAAATACAAATAAAAACAATCCGTTTCTTAAACTTTTTATGGAAAACAATGTTTTTGCAAAATAAATACTTATTTGATTTTCCCATTTTTTAAGCGTCAATTTAATAATCGAGCTGAACTAGAGGAATATATACAGGGTGGCGCATCGAAAACGAAACAGACGCATTTAATGGCAGCTCAGTTTTTTTTGGAAAAACGCTCAGACCCTTCGATTTTGTTTTCGAGGGGGACACAAGTTTGGCAAAAAATCACTTTAACACGTGCAGCCCCCTGGGCGGGGGTGACACCAACCCTAAAATCCTAAATGGCAAGGGGGGTCAAGTGATACCTTATCGTAAATGTCTTTTAATTCCCTTTATAATGATGTAAAATACATGAGCTTCAGTTCAGTAGTTATTGATTTAAAGCTTAAAGTAGACTTTAATAGGTACATCAGATTAGTTTGTACTACTTTCAGAAGAAATTTGACTAAAATAATTTACTTAATAAGTAAATGCTTTTCTTCACTACGCCTATGGTTTGTTTATCATTTTGTTGTCAGTCAAGTCATCGTTGGTTGTCAGAGCGGTCCGTGGGACCTTTGCTCTTGAGTCACAGTGTCAGTTTGTAAGTCTGTCAGGTCTGGTAACCCAGAAACCAGACAATTTTAAGGAAAAAAGGGGAAGGAAAGGAGAGAAGGAAGCAAGAGCAAAGGGGAAGAAGAGAATCTTTTAGGATAGGCAGCGTTTAGGCATTGTTAAAATCACTTCACAGATTTTGATATGGTCTAAAAATATTTGATTTTTTCTAAAGATTGTGTAAAAATGCTCCAATTTTGGTTATTCTAAGTTCACGAGTTAATTTTGATTACAGTGCGAGCCGCGGCCTTTTGTGCTTGCGAACTTGCTCGACTGTGTAGTCCACTGATCATTTTGTTGTTGAAAATACCTATTGGAGCGTTTTTTGTGTCAAAAAAGTTATTTCTTGAAGGAAATATCTCGTACTTATTTTAAATAGGAATTTAGTGAATTGTTTCCGATTGATTTGACCAAACTTTGTTGCTAAAATAACTTGTAACGCTTTATTACATAAATTAACCATGGTATATTACACAGCAGAAAGAGTTGAAATTATCGAAATATTTTTCGGAAATAATCAGTGCGCTAATAGAACAGCAGAAATATTTAATGAGCGACATAAGAACAGTAACGTGCATCGAAAATATGTTCTAGAACCCGTAGCTAAATTTCGGGAAACTGGGTCAGTCGCCAATACAAAACGCAACATTGAAAATCCCATAAGGAACGAAGCAATAGAAGTGGGGGTTTTAGGGCAAGTTTCTGTAGATCCTACGTTAAGTACCCGCAAATTGGAGACTGTGTGTGGTGTTACTCGACGTACCGTCCAATGGATTCTAAAGGCCCATAGTTTTCATCCGTATAAAATTCACCTGGTACAAGAACTTAATGAAGACGATTTTGATCGGCGATTACAATTTTGTGAAGATATGAGTGAACGAATTATAAACGATGAACATTTTCTATTCAACACTTGCTTTTCCGACAAATGTTCCTTTTTCTTAAATGGCGTAGTAAATCGTCATAACTGCCGATATTGGTCCGATTCTAATCCCAGAATTTATCATGAGGTTCATACACAGCAAAATTAAATGTTTGGGCTGGTATTTTTGACGATCATTTAGTTGGTCCCTTTTCTTACCTGGAAAATTGACCGGTTAAATGTATTTGGAATTACTGGAAGACGCCATAGATCCTGCATTAACAGCCATAATTGAAAATCAGAATGATCGGCGGTACATTGCGAATAGGTTGATGTTCCAACAGGATGGTGGCCCACCACATTACGCATTACGTGTTCGACAATATTTAGATCAGACGTTTCCAGATCGATGGATTGGTAGAAGAGGTGCCATAGAATGGCCCCCAAGATCGCCAGACTTATCACCTTTTTATTTCTTTATGTGTGGTCATTTAAAAAGCAAAATCTATGCTACTCAGCCAACATCATTAGAAGATCTGCGACAAAGAATTGTGAATGAGTGCCTTCAAATTACTCCTCAAATAGTGCAAAATGTGCGGCAACGTTTTGAGCAAAATTTTATTATTGCATCGAGAGTCATGGTTGCCATTTTCAACATTTACAGTTCATTCTTGATTTTTAAATTACTTTGCTGCAAAATGTATTGATCTCCACTAATGATGATGTATTAGTTTTGTTTAAGCTTTAAATCAATAAATCTTCAAAACTACTGAACTGAAGTACATTAATTTTATATCATTATAAAGGGAATTGAAATACCTTTAAAATAAGCTATCACTCGACCCCCCTTTCCATTTGAGATTTTGGGGGGCGGTGTCACCCCCGCTTTGGGGGCTGCACGTGCTAACGTCATTTTTTGCCAAACTTGTGTCCCCCTCAAAAACAGAAACGACGGGTCTGAGTGTTTTTCCAAAAAAAAAACTGAGCTGCCAGTAAATGCGTGTTTCGTTTTCGATGTGCCACCCTGTATATATATATGTATATAAAAAATATTCGCATTCTTCTTTTCTTCAAATATTTTAATGAATGTAGTGAGAAGAAAAACTGAATATTCGCATTCGCTTTCGCGAACGAAACAAATTGACATTCGCACTGCAAAATCTACCACCTTTTCAGCGGAAGACCTGATGGGTTTCAACAACACCGGCAACGTATGCATCTGGCCCTCCGAAGAAACGCTCAGCTATTACGTGTGTTCGAACCTGGAGCAGTTCCGCGACAGAACCGTCATCGAACTCGGCGGCGGCATGTCATGTCTAGCGGGGCTGTTCGCTGCAAAATACGGCGATCCTAGGGAGGTCGCCGTCACCGACGGCAACAAAATGTCGGTGGAGAACGTCCAGGCGACTTTGAAGTGCAACGAGTTCGAGGTGCCTGTACGCTCTGAGGTGCTCAAGTGGTCCCAGGCGGATCCTGAAGCGTCGTACGACGTCGTGCTCTGCGCGGACTGTTTGTTCTTCGACGACGCCAGAGCGGACCTAATTGAGTGCCTGCGTGCGTACCTGACCTGTGACGGAGTCGCTTTGGTGATGGCGCCGCAGAGAGGGCGCACCTTGGAAGATTTTATGGCTCAGTCCGAGATGAGAGGACTCAGGTGCGAGAAAATCAGCAGGTACAATGAGGTCGTGTGGGAGAGACGGTTGCAACTATTGGAGCACGAGGAATACGACGACAACATCCATTATCCAATACTCATTCGAGTGACCAAAGTATAAGTGGCCTTTGGAGGGAAGTAGGATTTTTTAGCGTTTTAGAGGCGAGCGGTCTTTGACAAAAATCGGAACAGCTGGTCTTTTGTGTGTAATTGTACTTTTAGAGCACTGCCAAAGAACTATTATCCTTCATTTCAAGATAGCAGTGAAATTTTCGACTTTTTAGTCTTCAGTCGGTAGACGGAGTTGTATGTTTTGAATCCTTATTTATAGAAGTAATTATTTATGTCGCCGTTTAAATTACAACTAGGAACGCCCTCTACCGAATCCAGTCGGTGCGCGTACGCTCCGAAGTACAGTCATGGCGGAGGAAAATGAGTCCTATTACTTTCCGGACAACCCCCGTACGGCCCTCCTTTACCATTGAATCTTTTATTTTAGTATACACCAAGAGCAAAAATACGCTTACTTGTACAGACAGTGTCAGAATTTATTCAGATCATTGTTGATTCTATATACAGTAACGGACAAAAGTATATAGACAAAAACTTGTTTTATTAATACACCAACCTGTATACATAATTCGTTATAGCATAATACTCACTTATACATAAATAAATTCATTAGACTCCCTTCAGTAAAAAATTAATTGGAAAAAACTGGAACTATGAAGGACAAAAATATATAGACAAAGCAAAACAATTATAGAAAAAAGAAGCAAAGTTCATTGAATTATAGAAAACCAACCATGTTTGTGTTAATATTTTGTAGCATAAACATTATTATCAATCACCGCCTGGCATCGTCTCGGCATAGATTGTAGAAGTTTCTTGCTATAAGATTCATCAATCTGTCTCCACTTTTGCTCTAAAGCGGCAAAAAGTTCATCCTTGTTTGAATCATTTTTATCTCGCATTTACTTATCTAAGTATTCCCATTGATTTTCAATGGGGTTTATATCGGGAGACTGTGAAGGCAATTTGAGATCTGGTATTTTTTCATCCAGAAAGAATTTCTTTGCGAGATTTGTGTGCTTCGGGTCATTATTTTGCTGGAAGATTGATCTTAAGGGCATATTGAAATGAAATGTTTATTATTCTTAGCCCTAAAGCTACTTCCTATAGTTTATAATAGTGTCTTACTCCAGTAATAACGCGATAAGCCACAAAAGCATAATAAGGAGTTATTTGACTTTTAAGTTTTGGAAAAATGTGAAAAATCAACGTTTATCATAATTAAACTTGAATAATTTTTTTTGAGGCTTTTAAATCCGTATCTGTTGAATTTGTTGAGGAAGAGTGAAAAAAAGACAACTGATATCCCAAAAAAATTTTTTTTACAAAAACAATGTGGCTTGTCATATTATTGCCTATAAAAAAAATACAGTAATATTTTTATAAGGAAATGAGGATTAAACTCTACCGCACTTTTCTGCTATACGATTTCAACATCTTCATCACTTTCTCTGGAGGTTAGTCCATTGAAGAAGGGTAGATGTATTGGGGGTATATATGGAAAAAGAGATTGTACCTTTTTAAGTTTCTTCTTTGAAATTTTTATAGGTTCCATGTACTTATTTTTCAGCTGACATAAGGGTATATTCACAGGCCTACCCTTTTTTGTAATATTCACTTCGTTATACTCACCGTTTACAGAGTGCTTAACAAAAAAAGATTTTGTATTTTCTGTTTTAAAATGGAAGGTATATACACCAGAGAAGTCTAAATTTTCCTTGTTACTCATGCGAGTACTCTTTTGAACATTGGCCAACAATAGTTCAAATTTGAGGAAATCTTCTTGCTGCATAACTGTGACCTTGAAAGGATTCTTGTTGTTAGCATCTTTGATGATTTTGTGCCAACCTTCTGGGGAATACACTTCAGGAGCATATTTTCTATGCCGTTTTTCAATCAACGCGAAGTCCCGGTCCGACGGCAAGTGGGTATGTCCAGTAACAAGAAAATGATGTGTTATTGTTTTAAACCATTTCTCTTTAACTAACTGCAACCAAAATGCCATAAGTTGCCAATTTTTGTTTTGACCAGGACAGTTATCCGTGAATACAACAAGGTGATCTACATCCTTTTTATCTTTAAGAAATTTAAAAAGTACAGAAGCAACTTCATCCGCTCCACGTTTGGCTTGATTTTCTGTCCACAAAAACATGTGACCCTGTTCAGCAGTACAATCGTGTACTCCAAGGTTATAGAGCCAAACTTTTCTGCAATAAAATGCTGGGCCTGTTGTAAGCTTGGGTATAGGCATTGCCTGCTGTAAGTCAAAACTGATAACACATACGTTTGTTGTACTTTTTGATCGGTCTGTCTCTAATTTCAGCAAATTTTGCATTGCTTTAGCTCTATTTTGGTGTAAAGTCAAGGAAGTAGTTAGCCTTTGTTCCTCTTTATCATCGTTGTTTGATTTGACAATATCAAGTTTGATCTTTGACTCGTCACATATTTTACATGTGTCAGACTTGGGCAGCTTGAAACCGATATTGTATTCAGTGCAAAATATTTTACGGTAAGCACTTTGTTTCACTGGAATAATGTTTTGTTGTTGACACCACGGAACATAATAATCCTTATGCAAGCTTGCTATGGACATATCGCAGTTAAGATACATTTTGTTGATGTTATTTGCTCTGCTATAGTGGCTCTGATATTTTGGTATAGCATCTATATGATTTCTGACAGATTGTTTTTGGTCAGCGCTTAGTGCATTTGGTCTATTTTTATGTTTACCACGTCCGTCTTTTATAGGGACAACAGCTCCGGTTGTCTTCATTTTGACAATATGGTCGATTCTGCCTCGACAATTTTGCAGTCCATGGACACTCATAAATTCGACCTTACATACCCTGACATCCCTACCATCAACATTAACAATATATTGAGCTGTAAACTGTCGACTAGATTCTTGACGTTTTTGTTTTTTCTTGTAAGATCTTTTCTTTTTTAGAACTCGAATAGCACCAAAAAGGTAACTGTTCTGAAGATCATAGGAACCTAGATCCCAGAATTTTGTGAAGATATTTTCATGGCTATTACTGAGCTTGTCTCGGCAGTTCTTCTGGCATCTACATGGTGAACCCAATTCTCGAGGTTTAACAAGTTTCTTGCTCTTTACTGTTGAATATTCTTGTCCTAAATTGCGTCTTCTCTTCCTTTTCACCTGTTCATAGTTCTCGTCCCTTCTTTGTCTCCAACGAGTTTGCGGAGTTTTTTCGGGTGTAGTTTCAGTTATTCTTGATAATTTAGTAGGTACAGGTGAGTCGCCTTCCTGAAATTAAATATTCTTAATAGCAACAACATGATAAGCCACGTTCAAATTCGCGATAGTCTTGTTTTGGTAAAACATGATAAGCCACAAAAACAAAAATAATACATACCTCACTTGTATCTGAACTTTCGTCATCATTTGATGGTACGAAATTCTTATCAACCACACTATCATCACTTGATTCATAAAATTCACTGCTTGAACTGCAAATATCGCTTGAAATAGGATTATTATCGAGAGGTGCATACGAACCGGTCGCCATTTTGACGTGGCTTATCACGTTTTAACGTGAAGATTGTAGAGAGCCGCCTAATAGTAATAACTTGATTCAAGGCATAGTGGCTCCATCTATCGGACAATAGTCACAACTTTTCTACTGTGGCTTATCATATTCATGCTTAACTAAATTGAGGAATAAAACAGATTTTTGTCGTTGTGTGGCTTATCATGTTATTACAATAAGCCCTTCATATATTATGCCATTTTATCTAGATTGCTTAACCTTACGAATAAATATATTTACAGACGTCGCTTCTCTAATTTCTGTAGGTAATGAATGCATTAAAAAGTCTCAAACCATCACTACCACCACTTTTCTCAGAGGCTTCCAAGATACCTTTTTGTTTATATTTGTTTAATATTGCCCAAACTGCTTTACGCTTCAGCTTCAAATTTTTAGCAATGTCGACTTGACGTTGGCCATCTTTTATAACTCGATGATCTTAGTTTTCACATCGAAAGAAATTTCTGAACCACGCGGCATGGTTTTAAAATCACTCAACTTATTCCACAATACTTGATGAACACAAACTAATCCTCTTCTGACACGAAACTGTACTAAACTAATGTTGAAAAGAATTTGTCTACATATTTTTGTCCCTCATAAAAAGTGCTTATATTCAGACTTGTGTTCATTGCAGATAATGTAAAAACAAGGAATTTAGTTTTTCTACTGATAACGCATTTGTTTATGGAGCAATGCAGTATGAATACGTTTTCTAAAGGTATTTAGGTAAATATTCATATTTGTCTATATACTTTTGTCCATTACTGTATATATATATATATATATATATATATAGGGTGTCCCATGAATTAGTTGCAATATAAATTTGTATTTTTTTAAATGGGACACCCTGTATTTCTGTTGATTTTTAGAAGCGCCTTGTCTTGACCATTCTACCAATGTACACGCTATTTGAATACCTTGTATATAAGTTATTTTGGTGTAGTCTTTCTCACATTTGTGGGGATAGTAGCTGTTGCTTAAGAGGCTGTGATCTCGTTTTGGAACACAATGCAATATTATTATTTTGTAAAAGACCGCTCGTGATATTTTTACTGTAATTATAGTAGACCATATTCCTTGTAATATCTAGTCTGATATATAACCTTGTCTGTGATATACAATACCAATTTCCTTTATTGCTCTCGAATAATTCAACAAGCGTACTCCTCGAAAAAAGATAGTTACTTTTCTAAAACGTTGTGCCGATTTGACTGGCTCTCGCTTATACAGTTTTTCTCTATGACGGTTCATATTTTACTCGATAATAGTAAGAGTAAATAAAATGAATCCCCATTATAAACGTTAACTAACACTAACCTTGAAGTCAACTGACATTCGTTCGTGAGTTCGTTATTCAACTTCCAATATTTATGTATAATTCTGTAAAGGAATATCGTGTTCTGTGCGTTTTTATCTCACTCACTTTTGTGTATCGTGTCGCGACCCTATCAAGCTAGTTAATTCTCAGAGGATCCCTGGTCAAATTTAATTACCGTTCCAGCACAAACAACACATTGAAAAGCGATGTTTGATAATTACATTCTAGCTAATAAGTGATTCACAACGCGCACTACTTGATCTTAGGAGCATTATATCCGTTTGCGTGTATATGACCCATCTGAAAGCTTATCCTGGGAACAAGTGCCAAGAGTGGAATGTATAACATAAACAGGCTTAAGGGCGGTCGTGTTGAGTGAACCTCCTAGAAAGATTTCGTGTGCTACAAGGTTGAACCGACATGCAAAATATGTTCGATATTTCATATGCTTACAGTAACTTAATGGGTTACACGACACACTAAGGCCGAGCATCTCAAAACGCACATAACACGACCCTGAGTCGGAACAAGTAACATAATATCATCGACAACACTGGGTCAGTTAACTGAAACGTGAGAAAGGAACCTATAGTCAAAATCACCAAAGATGACTATTACGTCATACCATAAATTGTACTGAAGTAATCAATGGTCGTACATCGATGAATCAGGATATCATGAATTTGTATTATGATTTTGCGAAGTTAGGTTATTTCACTGGTTATTTTTATTTTCATTTTATTTCATGGTTTCAAGTGATACCTTAATAATAATTTTGGTGGGGAGTTTATGTTTTGAAAAAAAACTGGTATGAGTAGAATACACCTTAAGACATTAACACCAATTACAGAATTATTCGAAAACAACCTAACCTGCTTTAACATAACCTAACGATTCATCTTCCAAATATGATCGATCATGCAACATGAAAACATCGTTTATCTTTTTCGGATACATGCAAATTAGCAATACAGTTTGTTTAGACAATAAAATTACGTTTTTCTCGAGAAACTTCATTATAAATATTCACAAATCGCTGTCGTTTGCCTTTACTATAGACTAAAATGATGATGTAATCGCCATCTTTTGTGATTTCGACTATACTGACCTGACGTTTAATTTTGAGGTTAATTTTAGGCAACCTAAAAGTAGCTTGAAACAGAAAAATTGAACATTTTTATAATGATTTAGCGAACTGAGATCGATCATGTCATGAAATACAAATATCTCCTAGAACCGATTCCGCAAAAAATAATTCACAAGAAAAAAATGTTTGTCTGTTGAATTATAATCTTGACTCCTGTATAAGCAGACGCCAGGATATCTACGCAGACCACATTCTCCGAGTCGTGAAAACAATTGCTGTAGTATTACGTAGAACAGATCTATTTTTATCGTGTTCATTTCACTCCATTCATTTTATTCCAATGCTTGCGGCCTGTTATCGAACCTTAGCTGAATTTAGGTCTTTAGAAAAAAATCGTGACGCACGCTTTTATCGAGGTACAAATCGTGGTATACAGGGAGATTTGACGTGATTTTTTCTTGTCTACCAATGTATGGCTTAGAAACATGTGTCTTTATCATTGATTTTGAAAGGTCGATACTATTCTTTTAAGGGGTGATGCACTACTCAAAAATATTACACATTGCGATTGTATTGCGCCTTTATGGCCTCGTTGATTTTCATAGTTTTCTACTGTTCCGTGTCAGCGCTCTATTTTGAGGTTATGTTATAAAAATTTGTTTGCATTAAATTGTTCATGCTTTTGATATACAGCAGACGCTCGATAATGTAAACTAATTTAATCCAAGTGTGGTTCACATTATCGAAATGTTTACATTAGCGAACGTGATCTATATAATATTTGATTTATAAAAAGAAACGTTTAAAACATACTATTTATAACAAAATAAACAAATATTCTAACAGCGATAAGTATTTTTTTAATTAAAAGAAAAATAATTAACAATGTTTGTCCGCGTTAATTTGCGCTTAGCATTGTTTTCCAATGCCTGCGCCCGTAATTTACTAAGAACTACAATATCCGTGTATGAAACTTCTTTTCTTTCAGCCCAATCTAAAGCTTGGTTAAAAACTTGTATAGCTTGCGCGTCAGTCACTACACTTCTGACTTCAATGGGATCGTTCTCATCATCCTCACTGTCCATATCCTCCTCCTTATCAGCATCATTCATCTGCTTATCTTCGTTCCATAAATTAATATCAGCAGGAGTACAAACAATGTTGGGATTCACTGTTTTCAATAAATCAACAACAGCCAATGACACGCTAATAACATTATCATTATTGGATCGCAAACGTTCTCTAATTACGCTTAAGGGGACATCGTCTTCTTCATCATCTTCATTATTGGTACAAAAGAGATTGTTCCAGCATTTTTGAATAGTTTGCTGGTTAAGTTCATTCCAAGCCATATGTAAATCTAAAACAGCTTCTCGTAATGTTACTTTTTTTAAAGCCTCAGATAAGTTTTCAGGATTCTTTGATAAGACAGACGATAGTAGAAACTTCCTATAGTATAGTTTGGTGAGTCTTATTATATTCTGGTTCATCGGTTGAATTAACGGTGTTACGTTGGGCGGCATGTACATGACGAAAATTGACCCATCCCTGCTCCTCAGTTGTTGCTCGGGAGCATGACTTGGTGCATTATCCAATAGTAACAACGCTTTTATTGGAAGCTACTGTTGTTTTAGGAAACCTTTTACCTACAAATTGAAAACACATCTTCAAATTATGAATAGAGCATTTGTGATAATTGATTGTCATACCTGAGGGACAAAGCACCTGTGGAACCATTTCAGGAATATACTGCTAGTCATCCAAGCGGTTTTTGAACAGTCATAATCAACAGCGATATTAACATTTTTAAATGAGCGCTGATTTTTTGCTTTCCCAATTACCAGTGGCTTTATTTTGTGTGAACCATTAGCATTAGTGCAGGCTAGAAACGTTATTCGTTGTTTCTCCGGCTTTCTTCCCGGGGCAGATTTTTCAAATGATGCAGCATAGGTTTTCTCTGGTAACATTTTCCAAAAAAGGCCACTTTCATCTGCGTTGTAAATTTGTTCCATTCTTAAATCTAGCTCGGTAATTATTTTCATCAATTTTTCTTTGAATGGTTGCACTAATTGTGATTGTGCTGATAATTTTTCACCAGATATAGACAGCAGTCGAATTCCATATCTTGTTTTGAATCGTTGTAGCCTGCCATCACTAGCTACGAAATTTTCAGTTTTTTTCAGTTTTTCATTTAACAGTCTCGCTCTCTGTTTAAGTATTTCGCCACTAACTGGGACATGATTTTCCCGTTGTTTTAAAAACCACTTATACAGGGAATTTTCCATTTTAGGTGCCTTCGCATTTTTTAAAGTTTTTCTTTTTCCCGGACCTCCAAATGTATTGCACGTTCTTTGTAAAATTTGAGTTTCCATACGCTTAATTTTACAGATTGTTGCTATATTTTTTTGCTAACTGTGTCACTCCCGCACCTAGTGCAACTTCGTCTATGCTTTTCACTTTCTCACACAACTTTAAACACTTTCTTTTATAGGATGTGGACGCCATAGTCGTAAAATATATTAACGCGTGCAATGTATTCACTTAAGTTCAAAAATGAAATACATACGT